ATCATAATATTAGAAAGGAAAACAATATACCAAATCAAAATTATCAAAAAGTTAAAACAAACATGAATAAAACAACATAAAAAAAAATCTAAAAAACAGTACCATCTACAATAAATATATACACCAATGATATTATATGGAACATATGAATTTGAAGCATGCAAAGAAATTACGAAGAGGAACAGATGATTAGAGATGTTTTACCAATACAAACAAAGAGAGGGAGAAAGTGAGAAAGAGACATATGCACCGTGAATTGAGAAGATAATAAAAGAAACAACATGAGAAAAAAATCTGATTAGAAATAACACTTTATAACGTATGTATTACTTATTAGCAATGTTTTAAAAACCGGATCGGAACGGCCGGTCGAACCGGTCTGACCGGAAATCGTTTATAAAACCGAGTCCGAGTGGAGTTAAACCGCTAAAACAGGCCAAAAAGGGACAAACCCGGTGATCCGGTTTGATATAAAAATCCGGTTTAACATATTTTAAGTTAAAATTTGGTTTTTTTAGAAAACACGTTATGGTTTTAGAGCTAATACTTAAAGGACGTTGAATTCAAATTAATTGTATGTTTGAAAAATAAATAAAAAAAATCGCATTTATTGCTATTTGCAGTTTCCAATTATATGGAAAACCAAAATTCCCCAAAATAATCTCTCAGAACAACGTAATTTTTGTTTTTTTAATGAATTATCAATTTATCATGCATGTTACTCGTTTATAGTAATAAACTCTAAGAACATCATTAATGGTAAAAGTTCTTCAAACGATATCAACTCAATTAAATAACAAGATTTCTAATCTATACTTATAAATGAGAAGTCAAAAATCCTACGTGGCAGCTCCAGAGTGAGTTTAAGATTTGGTTTGCCTATATTACCCTTAATGAATTGATATAATTACATATCCATGCCATCATATTTTTCTTATTAAAATACTCTTGATCGTTGGTCTATATTAATTGATTGGATCCTAATTATTTGGTTTGGATTTTCGTTAGGCCATATAGATTCATCATTATTTTATTTTATTGTATATATGTAATCGTTTGATAAACATTTTAATGGGTTTGGGCTAATTTTTTTATTATAACCCATATTTCATATGAAACCCTATATGTCAATTATACAATTTCGTGTATATATATATGTGAGCTTTAGGAACCGAGACGAGATTTCTATGAAAGAAGCCGTGAGTGATAAGATTTAGTTAATTTCTGAAAGCAATTACTTAGATACATTTTGGTAGGCTTAAGACTTAAGAGTGAGTTTATAAAGGATATTTTTGATATAAAAAGAAAAATTTTGTCATGTGACGCAGTAGTTGTGAAATCTCAAAAAATAGTGAGGGAAATTGTAAGAGTAGGTAATCTATATTCTCAATTGGGAGGGCAACTAATAAGAGATAATGGCGAGGTTAGACGATGGTTTTTCATTATGTAGCATCTCATTATCATCTAAATCACTTGATTGATTTTTGCATGTTATATTAAAGAGATATATATTAGTTTCTTATAATTTAACATTGAATGTTAAATGTATAATATATCAAATTATGTGTTTGTTACTAGAAATAAGTAATTAGTTTTTTTTTGTTGAATGTAAAATCTCAATTTAGAATCTTAAAATACTATTTTTCCGATATTGTTGTCCCGCGCAAAACGCGGGTACCTGCCTAGTGATTAATAAATTGTATAACTAAAATAAAAAATATTTACCAATTAGAACAAGACACATAGGATCAGAATTTTATTAATTCAGTGTCTCAAGTGTCTCAATTAAGACATGGTTCATCTATACTTATAAATGAGAAGTCAAAAATCCTACGTGGCAGCTCCAGAGTGAGTTTAAGATTTGGTTTGTCTATATTACCCTTAATGAATTGATATAATTACATATCCATGCAATCATATTTTTTTTATTAAAATACTCTTGATCGTTGGTCTATATTAATTGATTGGATCCTAATTATTTGGTTTGGATTTTCGTTAGGCCATATAGATTCATCATTATTTTATTTTATTGTATATATGTAATCGTTTGATAAACATTTTAATGGGTTTGGGCTAATTTTTTTATTATAACTCATATTTCATATGAAACCCTATATGTCAATTATACAATTTCGTGTATATATATATATATGTGAGCTTTAGGAACCGAGACGAGATTTCTATGAAAGAAGCCGTGAGTGATAAGATTTAGTTAATTTCTTAAAGCAATTACTTAGATATATTTTGGTAGGCTTAAGACTTAAGAGTGAGTTTATAAAGGATATTTTTGATATAAAAATAAAACTTTTGTCATGTGACGCAGTAGTTGTGAAATCTCAAAAAATAGTGAGGGAAATTGTAAGAGTAGGTAATCTATATTCTCAATTGGAAGGGCAACTAATAAAAGATAATGGCGAGGTTAGACGATGGTTTTCCATTATGTAGCATCTCATTATCATCTAAATCACTTGATTGGTTTTTGCATGTTATATGAAAGAGATATATATTAGTTTCTTATAATTTAACATTGAAAGTTAAATGTATAATATATCAAATTATGTGTTTGTTACTAGAAATAAGTAATTAGTTTTTTTTTGTTGAATGTATCTCAATTTAGAATCTTAAAATACTATTTTTCCGATATTGTTGTCCCGCGCAAAGCGCGGGTACCTGCCTAGTAATTAATAAATTGTATAACTAAAATAAAAAATATTTACCAATTAGAACAAGACACATAGGATCAGAATTTTATTAATTCAGTGTCTCAAGTGTCTCAATTAAGACATGGTTCATCAAGTTTCATTAACTTTTTATTTTTTTCGTTTATTTTATTCATTTGACACTTTTCTAAATATGTGTGTTAATGATACTCTACGTGGAGGTTTAAATTATCTAAATCATATTTGTATTTTTAATTTATATAGCACAAAATTGTTATTTATCTTTCGTTTGTATATCTCCATACGGTAAGTAATTAATATGTGATATGAAATAGTGTGTATTGTTCATTTTCAGTTTCGTATTATTTTCTCATTTTC